TGTCTCTCTCTCTCTCTCTCTCTCTCTCTCTCTCTCTCTCTCTCTCTCTGTGTCTCCGTCCCTGCCAAAGCGCTGCAGACACCTGCAGGTATTTAATGAGGAGATAGCTCCCATTAAAGGTGCTGCGTTGGCTGTCAAAAGAGAGCATGAGGGACAGAGAGAGAGATAAAAGAGGAGGGGAAGGAGACTTTGAGAGAGATTGAAGGAAAAGCCTTCTAAGGAAAAGTGGGCACACTTGGTGGCATCGAGCCAACTGGGATGAAGAACAGACAAAGAGGATTCATGATACACAAAACCATAGGCCAAGATGGCGGGGACTGGATTTAGTTACAGAGAGAATGTTTTTATGTTGATGAGACATGTTTTTACCTTCTTTTCTCATTCCCCCTCTAATGAGACGCAGAGGTAAAAGAGGTTAAATCCTCTCCCACTTTACCTCTCCTCTGTCTTTCCCTGCCAGCACGGCAGGTAACCTCTTGCTCTGAGGTCAGAACATTGCTATCTATAGCTCTTCATGCTATAGATAATGCAGATGATAATGAGAGTTTTAAGAGTAATACCAGAACGGAAAACCTTGACAACTTTGTGCTGTCGTGATTTGAGTCGTGTGGACTGATTCTGTAAGGGTTACTACCCTGGAAGTCAGTTTTGACTGACTAAAGGGAAAAAAAGGAGGGGTTGTTTTTGGAAAGAAGAAGTATATGGCAAACCTTACCTGTCAGTCATGTTAAATTGGTTGCTGAAACACACCAGTCCACCTTTTAGTCAGCCAGAAGTAGAGCAAGTAGATCCGGAGAACTACTTGCTGCAGGACATATTTGGTTTATTTCTCAGAGGAGACCGTCTCCTCCTCTTCCTCAGTCGACTGTGGCAACATGGAGGATACACCTTGATAATCTCTGTACCCACCACACTGTCGTAGGGTGGTCAGCGCGGCGGCCATTTTTATGTGTACCGTTGCCATTGCGACCGTTGTAGTGGGCTCACTTTGGTATAAACCAAACTGACTTACGGCAAGTGACGGTGAGGTTTTGTAGTATAGACAAAAACAAGCAGCGGAGGAGTAGCCTTACAAAGCGTAGAGAGCCAGATTAACTGAGTGAAGTGGAACAGCTTAATGCATCATCCACACACTCTTGTCACACAATACTAAAGCACATTGCTGCCGCCACATGAGACTTTGTTCGGCTCATTTTCAGTAACCCGTGTAGCATTGAAGCAGCGGACTTGTCAGGTGTCTGCCATCATGGTTGTGTGCTACACTGGTTACAGAAAATGAGCCGAACGGCGGGGCTAGGTCTAACTTTTTAACTTTATTTAGAATAATTCAGTTCATTACAATTTCTTGTAGGAATTCTGATTTTCCTTCCTCAAAACAGTATACAGATTCACAACATGTGGGCCTATTTGAAAATAAATGAATCAACATATACACTATAATTTATGAATGTACAAAATACTCTCCTCAGAAGCACATAATTTAACCCTGCTGATTGTAACTTCATTCAAGCTCGACAGAAACAAAATAAAACTCATTAAACATGTCTTGGTTGGCTCTTTCCACTTCCAACAATCACTCTGGTTTGGTTGAAATAAACCCTTAATTCACAGAGTGAGAACATACTGGCTCTACCCTGCTGTCTATCTCTGCAGTTGCCGGCCTCGGTGCTATTAATAGCTTTCTGAACAAGTCTGTCGCTGCGCGACAATAGTTGGAACACACTTTTAAATTAAGCTTTGTAGATCTAACACGAGTGAAGATTCAGCAACTATATTGGCAATTTCTGTCTTCAAATTAACTGAAAGTTAAAATAAATGAAAGCTTACGAGTATATGTCCCCTGTTTTCCAAATTGGGGGAAAGGAAGTGCATCATGTGCATAGGATTGTGGGTGTTTTAGGAGTGGGGAGGATACACGCACGTATCCTTGAAAATCCTCCGAACAGTCCTTCGACATCTGAACAGTCCTTCAACGTGGGCCGATGACGTAGCATCCTTGAAATTCAGCCGTTGAAGGATGCTTCCTTGATTTTGAGTTTGACCCAGAGGACGGCCGGCATGCAGTCGATAGGCGCTGCTATTGTTCTTAGTCATGTAGCCACTATAATAAACTATCATAATGGCCTTTTTACTTTACTACCTTACCGAAGCAGCGTACCGTGACTTGTTTGGGAATTCATTCCCTTTCTTCGTGGACATGAATTGCCTACCTGTTCTCTCCCGTCTTGGGTCACATCGCTGTCAGATCCAAGAGGTGCTTCCTCATTTGTTTTTAATACTGATATGTTGTTTTGCCAGTATGGACTGATATCAGCCTTCTATTGCAGTTTGGATTGATTTTACTGTCTTCCATACAAGTTGCAAGCTCTTGTGAAATTGAGAAGTACTGCATATTTGGCTGATTTAGACATAAATTAAGTGAGAGAGGGGAGATGACGAGTTCAGTAAACATCGCTGTGAAGTGAGACGGAGGGAAGAAGTCTAGATTTGTGCCTGTTTTTTTAGGCATAGATGTAACGCATTCTGCCCCAAACACAAATAATGTATCAGTCGCACCAGGCAGACTGGAGTCGCAGTGTTCACGTCCTTTGTGCAAATGTCTGCAAGGTGCACCTCTCTACTCATTGCATATGCATTTCGGGGAGGATCACACAGATCTTAGGGGGAACATGTTAACAGAGGAGGATTATGTATTCTGCTGGATTTGCTGAGGTCACGCTGGTAACGACTGAAAATTCTCTGCCTCTGAAAAGGAGGCGTAAACACAGCACTGGTGGGATTTACAAGACCCAAAAGGAAGATTGTAGTGGGAAAGATAAAGGCTTGTGAATACTAAAAAAACTATATTAGAAACTAATAGGAAGAAATTGGGCTTTCATTAATAGACACAATATCTAACAACTGAAGTAGTGCACAGATGTTGTAGTTTGTGCTCTTCAAACCTGAATTTGCACTTCATCAAATCTCCATCAATGAACTGTGTAGTGTGTGTTTAGCTGCATTTATCTATTAGTATCATATTATCTATCATATTAATATGAATATCAACACCATCTCCACCTCCCTCTTCTAGTCTGTCCATCTCTCTTAATATGCTAAAGATCATTTTATGAATAATATTCTCAGTTTTTCTCAGGTGTATTTGAACAATATTAATATTTGTAATCAAAATGACTGCTTTATTATTTTTAATTACAATTTGAGGGTCCAGCAGGGTCATGTGCACAAGTCTCTACATTTATGTATACGCCCCTCTATTTCAAGATGAGTTTTACAGGAAGAGGAAAAAGAAGGATTTTGATATTAAAATATTTTTTATATATCAAATGTGATATATTTACCATTTTTGTCATTTCTGGAGATAAAAGTACCTCCTTATTCACAGTGGTAATTGTAACATGTGAGGCAAAATACCAGGCAAAAAGCTGTGCCTTTGCATATTTAGTTAATATCAATGTAAT